AATAATGCCTTATTTTTGGGATTTCTTGTTGAATCCAAACTTAAACTTTACATGTCCAGTATCAGTAAGAATAGTCACATTGTACTATTCCAATGTGGCAAATGTATCTGCTTATAAAGCCCACTGATATAGTATCAGTTACAGATATTCAAAGTCAAGAATCATCTCCATATATAAAAATAATGTTCTCATCACTCTAACCCATATAGGGCTTTACTACATTAATCATAATATGAAATGATTGTTCTGTTCACTGACAATTTTGATCCAAAGTGGGTAAGGTTACTTGTACACTGTCAGCTACAAGAAAAAATGGCTTTCTGTGGCCATTCATTTTAGTAGACTGGAACAATTTAGAGTCCTCAACAGTGTGGAACATATGGAAAGACAATAAAAGATGTCCTGCTGCTTGTAACTCTCTACGTGGGAAATTATGGGACATTTAATTAGCTGAATTCAATGCGTATACATCAGGTTTAAGATAGGATTTAACAGTGGCTTTGTTAAATGATGTAAAAAGTAACAGAATTATATATATTTTGGTTTGTTTAGAGAAAAGATGCTTGCAAATTCTATGGGGGGGGCCATAGATTGGCCCTGAAGTGATGTCACTGGACAAGGTATGAAAACGACTCCCAGGCAACCACAACTGTGATTTTATTTCATTCTTTGGTTGTAAATGGCTGCAATCTAACCTAAATCCAAAGTTCCAGAACATGCTGCAGCCAGGTATATCACAGCATTGATATCCATCATTGTTGAGGTGAAAATATGTTTAAAATTTGTAATGGAAAACTGCCTGAACTCAGTCGAGTTTGTGAGCAGGTGCTAGTAGAAAAAAATTCCATGCGTAAACTAATACTAATCTTTTTATTTTTCCCCCATTACCAAGTAAACATACTCCCTCTCTCTGCTTAATTACTTAAAGCGCTTCGCTTTGAGCTTATCGGATGTAAATATTTGCTGACTGTAAAATAATGAGTTTGATAAAATATTGTCAGGGGAGGTTTCGCCCAAAAAAACATCAAACTGGACAATTTCTGGTCTCAGGAAAGCACAATTCTAAACCTAGATCATTAGTATGCGTTACAGATGGGAGCCCAGTCATCTCTACAAATGCTTACACAACTTTAAATAAGAATATGCTGCATTAACATACTAGGAATATATCCAATCTGGTGCTGTCTTATCTGAGTGTTGCTTCTGGTAGCCTTGTGCCGGCCTTCCTTAGTAGGGAATGAAGTGAGTGTGGTGTGTTTGCCTTTTTAAGGGCAGGGCAGGCTCGGCTGTGGAGCAGCGAGGATTCGTGTCACCTCAGCCTCAGCAGCTGTCTTTGTGTGGTTCTCAGCCTGTCAGGTGCTCAGTGGGGGTTTATTATGAGGGATTATTTTTGTTGTGTCAAATCTAAGGAGTCTGCACTTCCTTAAATGCATTGAATTCAGGTTTGATCATGTTTTTGAGGGATTCTCTTATGCTGTGTGCTAAAATGACTTATTTCCTTTTGGATCTTATTTTAAAGCTGACAGGAAATGTTAGACACCAAACAGAAGGAGGTAATTGTGGTTGTAAAGGTGGGCTTTACTTCACACAGCTGTTCAGGGCTTTGCTTTTGAAGTTTGGAGGTGTATACTCCATATGGTTATCAGAATCGGAAATTGGCTTTTACCACTCACTGACGGGACATGCAAACAGAACCAGCACAGCAGAGAAGTCTGTGGTCAAATCATAACACAAATAAGGGTTCTTTCAAACAATGGAACCCAATTTTAATCAAATCAAGCTTAAGTATGCTCTTGTATTCTATTTGTTTGAAACAAAAAAATGGTTCATTTACTGGTGGATCTTATTTTTATTTTTTTTAACATTTTGTAGTCAATTTGAGTGACATTAAGAGCTAAATTAACCCAAAAGTACCTCTTATGAAAATGTGGATGTTTCAGTTCCTTTTTTTTCCCAGGGATTTTTTTTTTTACACTGACTATCATAGTTATTAGACAAGACTTAAATACCTCTGTGCTCTCATATTTCACCGCCCTAACAGAACCAGTACAATTGTTAGAATTAAATTTTTGTCTCATCTCTCAAAAGAACACAGTGAACTATATTCAGTGTTGTGGGATTGAAGTCTGGAGTTCTCTGAAGTTTTCCTTAACCAATATTGCAAAAGCCCTTTGAAAGTTAGACATGCTGCATATGGGGGTAATTACACAGATGTACCTGTAGGGGGCATCGCTGTCATTGAAAGCAATTTACAGACAAAACTGTGACAGCTGCTACAGACAGACTGATCTTTTATGTTCACATCCACGGAGCAGCTCCAGGTAAGCATTCTCTTTACTGTGGACTCAAAATTCCTGAGAGTTCTTTGACAAGACATTTAATCGCTTAAGACTTTTACTTTTGTGTCATCATGCATATGATCACAGTTTATTTTTATGTTTCCACTAAGAATAGGGGTACTTGCAAGCTTCGTTTAGTGTTGGGGTAAAAGTACAGCAATGTACAGGGCTGCTGTGTGGAAATGTTTGAAATCCAATTCAACACAGTGGGTTAAAAACAAAAATCTAAGTAACTTCAGACTTCAGACTACTGTGGTTCTGACAGTTTGGCTACTCCATCAGCCTTTTTAAAAAGCAGAGAATATCAATACTGCACCTTTTGTCTTTGTTTTCTTCCTGGTTGCGTTTGTGTCTGGGTTCACTGTCTGGGGCAGATTGGTTAATGCTGTTACTCTACACTAAAAAGAGGGACCTGTGCTGGTTTTGCTGCTGCGTGTAGGTGGGCGGTGTCATCAGATCTTGGCTGCTACACTAGGCCCTGTGTTCTCTTATGCCATAGCAGTGAGATGGTTTCCCTCCCCCCCTCCTTTCCGCTTTCCCTTTGAGAGTGTGTGAGTCTCTCAGCTGTTCGTGGGCCCTATCAGCACGCCGTTGGTACGACCCTACCTCAGAAGAAATAGTAGAGAGGCTGTCCAGAAGTTCAACAACAGAATGCAATTATTCATTAACTCCTGCCTGAACTTACTGTAAAGAAAATGTTTTTTTGTTTGTTTTTATGCCTATTTTATGTTTTTTTTTACATTATGTTTTTTTCTTCTTTCATTTTCGTTACGGTTTCATGCCAGTCAGAATTGTCTCATTGGTTTGTTACCGCAGAAATCAACAAAGAGTGGATAAGAAACATTTTTTGTAAATAGATAGATACTTTATTGATCACTACAAAAAAAGTTAAAAGCTACGATAGATTTTAACCATTTGGTACTTGGTTGTATTTTTGCTAACTTGCTTGGGCTACACAGTAACATCAGGACTCAATAACAACAACTAAAAAAGATGCTCGGAAGAGAGTGCAAAAAAGAAAACAGCTTGATGTTTGCGGTGTTGACTGATTGTATTGACTGATTGCAAGAAAGATTTCTGACCTCATATATCTTCGTGTAGAATTTCAAAGTCCAGAAACCATCTGGCAGTGGTTTCTCTCAGTGTTTACGGAGACAACCAATCCATGCCCATTTAATCATTCCTGTGCCGAATTAGAAGCAGCAACTGAGGCATTTATGTTTCTTTGTTTGCTGTAAGCAGAGTTTTTTTTTTTCTTAAAAGTTCTAGAAATCTTTCAATGACATAAAAAAAAACATTCATGATTTCTGATTCTGCATCACGGGGGTCTGTGTGCCCTTCAGTCGGCTGCATTGTCGAACATTGGTGTGGAATGTGAACTGTCCTTTGGCAGGAGGATCAGGGGGCTTTATAACAACCTTTAAACAAATCACTGTAAGAAGATACCTGTATATTTAGAGAAGGAAGGGACTTGTTCTGAGAAAAAGCTTATAAAGGGATTACCACATGCTGCTACCCTAGGGTGAATAATAGGAGTGTTTTTTTATTTTTTTTATTTTTAGAATATATCTGTTATCAAGCTGTTTTCATTGGAATCGTGTCAGGAACTTTCTGGACTGTTTAGTTTGTCTCCATCCTAAAAAGAATTGAATTGCAATGACTACAGTGTTTTTTAATTTTTTTAATTTGCTGGTTGGAGAACTGGTTTGCATTAAGTGTAGGATTTCTTTCAAATTATTTTTATCCCAAAGCAGAAGGTGTTTGTTTCCTCTGAGCTGGATCTGGCTCCCGCTGATGCTTTGCAGACAGATTCTCTGGTGATTCAAGACTTACTCACCACAGAGACGTATGACGGCAGGGATCTGGTGGTGGGGGGGCAGTTAGTGGCGGGGGACTGAAGGGTGGGGTGTAGAAGCATCGACTCTTCTCGCAGCATGCGAGGTGTTTCTCCCCCAAATCCACCGACCCCTCCACCCCCGTCTGGAAATGGACACTGCTGGTGTATTTATAGCTGCAGACCACAGGCGAGCTCTCCTTAAACACTGTGGAGGAGGTCGGATTCACCACAGACGTGCTGAGCTTCACTACTCTGTGTTCCGGACTGCTATCCTCCGTCAAGTTGCTTTTTAAAAAGTGCCTGTAGGGGCTTTTCAGGTAGGAAAAGGGTGTTTTTTTATGTGAAATTTGGGATTTATTTAAGTCGGTGACATTTAATCGTGCTGTTTGGTTTGTAACACATGGCGAATTACTCAAAACATCTGAGGGGGGAATTAGTTTGTTTTCCTTTGACTGTTATATATTTAAACCAGTCTCTGGATGGTTTTTAACATCATGGCTATTCATATCCAGATGGAAGACGAGATGTTTGGCTATGTTGTCCACGTGATGAAAATGTGACTTTTCAATGAAGTTTTTAAAACTAAATCCAATTTTTGTTCCAGTGACATGAAGTTGTCATATGAAAGTGTATTTGTTGTCAATGTTTGTCTTTTGTGTTGAAAACAAGCAGCCGTGTTAAAAAACAAAGAAAAAAAATGCATAAAGATTATTCTATGGACTCCTGAGGGACCAACTGAGTCATTACGAGAGGAGTCCTTACTGAGGGTTTTGCAGAGTGATGAACTTGGCTCGATTTTGACATCAGTCTTTTTTTTTATTTCAGACGCTAAGCTTGTTCTGAGCTCGACCACAGGAGACGCCCACAGAGAGGAGAGATGGAGAAGCCAGCCCTGCAGACGCAGCCGTCCACCCTGCCTTTTTTCGACACGGCGCACGCTTTTAACCTGCTGCGCGGGATCCACGAGCTCCGCGCCGAGCGCAAGTTCTTCGACGTGACCCTCTGCGCCGAGGGCCGCGAGTTCCACTGCCACCGGACCGTGTTGGCTGCTGCCAGCACCTACTTCCGGGCCATGTTCGCCGGAACTCTGAGGGAGAGCGCCATGGACCGGGTGGTCCTCCACGAAGTGTCGGCGGAGCTCCTGGGCCTCCTGGTGGACTTCTGCTACACCGGCAGGGTCACCGTCACTCAGGATAACGTGGACCTGCTGCTCAAAACGGCCGATCTGTTCCAGTTCCCCTCGGTCAAGGAGGCGTGCTGCGCCTTCCTGGAGCAGCGGCTGGATGTCTCCAACTGCCTGGAGATCCAGGACTTTGCCGAGGCGTACGCCTGCAGGGAGCTGGCGGCCAGCGCGCGGCGCTTCGTCCTCAAAAACATCATGGAGCTGGCCAAAGGGATGGACTTTGAACGGCTGCCGTGGAAGCGGCTGGTGGAGTTTGTGTCGGACGACGAGCTGTGCGTGGACAAGGAGGAGACGGTGTATCAGATCGCGGTGCGCTGGGTGAAGGCGGACCTTCAGCGGCGCCTGCACTACTGGCCCGAGCTGCTCCAGCAGGTCAGGCTCCCGTTCGTCAGGAGGTTCTTCCTGCTGGCCCACGTGGAGAGCGACCCGCTCGTCTACCTCTCGCCCACCTGCCTCCGCATGGTCAACGAGGCCCGAAGCTTCCAGTCCTGCGAGTACGACCGCCACGACCGGCTCTGCCACCGCATGCGGCCGCGGCCCTCCACGGGCCTGGCCGAAATCCTGGTCGTGGTCGGAGGCTGCGACCAGGACTGCGATGAGCTGGTCACCGTAGACTGTTACAACCCTCAGACAGGACAGTGGCGCTACCTGGCGGAATTCCCCGACCACCTCGGAGGAGGTTACAGCATAGCTGCCCTCGGGAACGACATGTACGTCACAGGTAAGTCGGTCAAGGAAACACCAGGGCATCTTCCTTTTTCTCCACAGTCAAGACTGAACCTTTGGGGCTGGAGTTTGCACCACAGAGCATTTCTGATTAGTTAGCTTTTACTTCCATCATCTCAGGTTTGATATGAACAGAACCTCATAAAAATCAGTTTAGTTTAAAACACCCAGCAGTGAAATTTTAGACATGTGAACATAAACGACACAGAAGTGTCTAGAACAGTCCAGTCTGCTACCTCTGTAGCCGTCAACATAGACGATGGGGCCGGCTGACATGACTAAGATGTATTTTAGAGTATAAAAAGCATTAGTCTTCATATTTATCCACCATGTTTATGTGCTGAGGGCCAAATGTAAAACAGACAACTCCATAAAAGTGCATAAAAGACGCATTTGACCTGACTCCACCTAATCTACTGAGATATTTTGAGGGCTCAGGTTTTGGAAACAGTATTAAATTTACTCTGTTCAGTATATTGGATTCAGTTCAGTGACGGCTTATGGTCACATTGGAGCTTGGGTGGGTTAAAAAATACATTGTATCATCATTCTTATTACATTTTAACACTGAACGCTTCGAGTTCTAGGCCTCTCAGGATTGTTTAACAGAAAAAAATGTTTTTTGAGACATGAACAGGAATGGTCTTCCTTATTAAAGGGAAGCCTTGCACTCTGATTTTTCTGGATTACAGACATGATCAACATTTACTTCAACCAACACTGACAGCTTTACGCCATTTCCAAAACAACTTGTGCCAGCTAAATGTTTCTGGAAAAAACTGCGATTTTGCTACATTTTGGTTCATTTTGACATCCTGCACTTCCAGTTTTTCATTTACAGACAAGCTGGACATTTTGACCGACTGCCTAAATGTGTCACATGACCTGTCAAAAAAAAATTCAGGTGAATCTGCGTTGCTCCGTTGGGGCTGCCCAAATAGCCCAATTTGAAAAATAGATTTTTGTTTTTGGTTTGCAAAGGTTTGGCACTTTTGCTGCTGTTGGTTTAATCAAAAATTGAAATAATCCGTTCAAAGTTTCTTTATTTAGGGACAGCTAAGCTCTTTTAGCCTGACTATACCAGTCCGCTCTCTTTCTATGTGTAAATATAACACAATAGAAAACCGTAGTAGTCCAGTTAAGCCTCTTCTGGTTTCCCTCTAAACAGACAGGATGGGGCCCAGTGTTCACGTTAGATGCGTTTTTTGTTCACCACTGAGTTAAACCAACCATGGACTGACTCTCTCTCTCCTATCAACCGGTTGGAAGGGACTGCTTATTAAAAGAATAAATAAATAAGTCCCGGCTGCTTGGCTACTGACTCGGTGTGAGCGAGAAAGGACACAGCGTGCTGCCAGAACATCGGTGGTGCTATCTTTGTCATCATTGTCCTGATTATCCTCGGGCAGGTCTGAAATCAGTGCTGCCCATCAGAGCCCACATCAGACTGTCACTCACACATTTAGTTCTGTTAGCTCACAGCCCCACAGACAGAAATAACAGTAGGTGATTGCATAATACTAGTAGGCAGATTTGGTTTTTGTTTATTATTTCAGCTGCTAGAGTTATGCCTTTGCTTTCAAAGGCAGTTGTTTTTCTTTTTTCAAGAAAAAGAAAGAAGTATAACTAATATTAAGTCATATATGTTGTACAGTCAGCACCCTATATTTTCATCCTTCACTCACAATGTGAGATATTTGAACTGTTATTCTTAAATTAGAAATTTTGCTGCCGTTTGTTGAGTTATGTTCTTGTCCGCCAGCCAGAGAAATGTGAGGAAGGGTTACACAAACGGCTGGCTGAGCGGAGTGTGCAAACCGCCAGTGTGTGCTGTCAATTAAGGTGAAAATGCCACGTTTGTTTGGACAGAATCGGTCAAAAGCTAGAAGTTGAGTAGGTAAAAGTTAATAGCAATTGCGTCTCCTGTCTTTCCTGTTTTTTGTTCTGTCCTTTTTACTGCTAAAACATTCTTTTTACTTTATTACAGTTTGGTGTTAATATGGGGTTTGTTCAAAGTCGAGGCTTTACTCGCAATAACCACAGGTTATTGCATTGGCGAGGACTGTCTGGTCGCAGATCCAGCAGTCTGTAGTAGAGAGTCCAGACTCGTTGATCAGACTGGGAGGTTTCCTGAGCTGACGGCCTCTTGTGAAAACACAACTCAAATCCAGTCGATAAAGCATTTTTTATTGCACCAGTTGGGACTGTTTGGACTAATAATAGGCCAAAAAAAAACTAAGCATCAATTCAGTGAAAAGTAAAGTAAAGGCCTTTGAACTAACTCATAAACAATATATGAGACTTACAATAATTGATCTATTCTTTCATTCTTATCTGGATACAAGACAGAACTGTGCAAAGAAAACCCGTGTTCATTTTTAGATGAACCATTTCACATTTCCATCTTGTCTTATATCAGTGTCAATACGCTTTTTGGGTTTTATTAAAGCTTTCTGACCTGTTTGATGTAGAAAAGTGGGGTATGTACTATTAATTTTGACCAATTATTAATCTTTTATACATATTCATACATATTTTATATATATTTGTATGTAAAACTAATGCGAAAGATCCCATGTAATCAGTGAACTGTAGGTTCCTCACTTATTCTTTTCCCTACTTTTGTTCCCTGTAGGGTTCTCGGTACTAACCCTAACCCTCTGTTCACATCAGGTGGCTCTGATGGCTCTCGCCTCTACGACGGCGTGTGGCGCTACAAGTCCAGTGTGAACGAGTGGACCGAGGTGTCGCCCATGCTGAAGGCCCGCGAGTACCACAGCTCCTGCGTGCTGAAGGGCCAGCTGTACGTGGTGGCCCTGGACAGCACCGAGCGCTACGACCACGCCCTGGACTGCTGGGAGGCGCTGCCCGCCATGCTGCACCCCATGGACAACTGCTCCACCACGGCGTGCAGCGGGCGCCTCTACGCCATCGGCTCCCTGACCGGGGAGGACACCATGGCCATCCAGAGCTACGACGCAGACGCCAACCGCTGGACAATGGTCAAGTGCGGACAGCTGCCGCCGTGGTCCTTCGCCCCGAAAACCGTGACCCTCAACGGCCTCATTTACTTTGTCAGGTAAAGTTTATTTCAAATGACCATTTACTGCCTTTAAAAATAAGCCTTGACGTATAATTGTTCTGAGAAAGTCTTTTTAATTTTGCTCCTCCTTTTTACCGGAGGCTCATTTCCAAGTTGGTGTTGGTTCAGTGGACACATGACTGACCAGAAAGAAGCATCTGATCTCTGAAGTGAGCAGGAATACATGAAACTTTTTGGCTGCGACGTGACTTCGTTCCCATTCTATTTACAGGGATGACTCAGCCGAGGTTGATGTGTATAATCCCCAGAAGAACGAATGGGACAAAATTAGCCCCATGACCCAGGTTTGTATTTCACCTCAGATGTTTATGAACCATCGGGACCTGTAATTGCTCTGTTGGAGGACGACCCGCCACCGAGCGGATGATAAACACACTAAATAAAAATTAGATCTGCAAAAGGGATCCAGATATGGAATGAGAGGTTTGTCATGAACATACTAATTGTGGGGAAAAAATTGTTTTATTGACCCAAAAATGCTATGTGACCCTTTAAAATAGGTTTTAAAAAGTTTTAAAAGAGTGAATTAGCTCCAAACTAGCTGTTCACTTTTTTAAAAATCAAATGAATAACCAAATATGGGACAAAAGTAAATGAATAATTAAAATGAAATAAAGTACAATAGATTTAATATGATACAGATATTAATTGATTGAATGATATTAGTTTTACCTTTTTATTCAATGTATACACATTAAAATACATTTTGCATAAGTTTTTGTAATATTTGGTATGAGAAACCTCATGAACTGAAAAGTTTAGCTTTTTTTAAATTGATTTATTTTTCTTTCCTATAGTTTGATTAGAGGAACACAAGTAGATGGACAAACCCTGGCTGGGTCAAAGTTTAGTCCGAAACCTAAATTGAAACCATTTAGCTATTCATCACAAATGGTTTAAAAGAAGTCTATAGTAGCTTATTTTTTACTTGTCAAACTCTGATTAAATGTGTTGTTTTATATTCTTTAAATCCTAAAAAAACAAGTTGTTTTTGGTCATTTATTTTGTTTTGTTGCCTTCAGGTCCACGTTGGAGGCAGCGTAGCGGTCCTGGGCGGTAAGCTGTACGTGTCCGGCGGGTACGACAACACCTTCGAGCTGTCCGACGTGGTGGAGGCCTACGACCCGGCCGCCCGCTGCTGGACTCTGGCCGGGCGGCTCCCTCAGCCCACCTTCTGGCACGGCAGCGTCAGCATCTTCCGACAGTTCATGCCGCTGGTTTCCAGCGCCTTCCAGCCCGCCGACATCCCCGAGTCCAACGGCGTCCACCTGCACCGCCACCACCGCCACCAGGCCCTGCAGAACCTCAACAACCTGAACCAGAACCAGGGCGTGAACCCAGCGCACTGAGCCCGGTAAACCAAACTCTGAGGCAAACTCTGAGGATCCCAGATACAGAAGACATTTATCCTCATTCACAGTGGAACTTTATTTTACTGCAGCTAGAAAAAAAAAAATTGTGAACCCACACGAATGACTTATTTCTCCTCTCTCTGGCATATCCTGCCCTCATCACATGCAACCACAAAGAGCAGTTTCGTGTATGTTTGGAGTCAATTAGAGGCTTGTGTAAGTAACCTCAGAGAGCTCCCGTTAACTAAAATGAAAATAATTCAAGTAACCACTCAGTAATTTCAAAGTTTGTAACTGTGCCTCGATTTGATCATTTTCAGAGGGCAGCGTGCAATAACGTTACAGAATAAACGTTACAGTAAAGATACAGAAACTATCATCAAACCTACTGATGAAGTGGTCAAAAGGTTGAAGGGTAAGATTACTTCTTCTAAATATTTTGATCAGTTCAGTGTGTGTTTTTATTTCGTCATGTGTTTGGACTATAGTCCACCTTTACTAGAAGGATATTTTTGGTTGTATTTAAAAGTAGAGTGATGTTATACATAAGAACTTGGTTATGAGTTCAATTAATCAGACTCATCTTTAATATTCCGGGATTACTATTCAGGTCCCTTTAGTTTTTTTCTCTTCCTTGTGAGATGGGCCGGGGCTTATCAAAGCCCCCCCTTAGCAGAGTCTTCTTTCTTGGAGAATTTCAAGTCACAAAAAAAGGAAAAATACATGAAGAAAGTTGCCTTAAATCAGTATATTAGCCTTTTTAGGAATGGTACTTTGAGACACTGGTCGGGTTTAAAGAATCAGAAGGCTTTCTGACATTTAGAGCTCTTCTAAAAAGCTGCTCAGAATGAGAATCCACAGTTTTCATCGAACATTTTTCAAATCTTACAGCCCAATAAATGTGTGTAGGTATATGTATATATATAAAATATGTTTTGATAAAGAATTTAACTGCATTTTTACACTGAAAGATGAATGAAATTGACCCAAAGATGAGATCAATGGCATTAATGGTCATCTTTAACAGAAAATGGACACACGAGTTCGCCATCAATTACGCTGCTGAACTAGAATTCTTTTCACAGGTAATTCACAATTTTAGCTTTAAGGGGATCACAAATGTCCATTTTACTGATATTCTGGCAGCAACAGTCGAGTCTTAACAGAAACGGTCAGAAAGTGAAGCAGATCCGGGTCGATGGAAGGAGCTTTGTAGCTTTGGTCCGAATTTTATTAATGAAAACAAGGAAGAAAAGACAATCATACATTGCACCACCAATGGGTTTTTTTTTTAACCCTTTTACAAATGCCTGTGATTTTCAGATTTTTGTCAGAAACCACATGAATCTGATTGCATTCCAAAAAATGGCAAAAAAAAGAGAAAAATCCCAAAACAAACTGCAATTACGCTCGGTAGGACTGAGGTTACAATGAAAGTGCCGAGAGATCTTCTGTCATCAGATTTTTTAGATGGCCGCATGCAGTTTTCCTAGTGATCAGTACGCATCTCCTTATGTTCCCATGTTGTGCTTATTTATGGATGCATTTGTGCAGTGGTTGCGTTTTTCCCCTCAGCTGGAGATGAGTGACATTTTCAGTCACAACTGGAAGTGCTAAAGAATCTCAATTTTGTCAAAGCAATGTTTTTTTTTTTCTTGTTTTTCTTTTTATCTTTTACATAAATTGTATTTTGAGTGATGTTACTGTCTATGCAGCCTTTGTTTTTCTTAGTTTCATACAGGCTTGTGATGTTTAATCTGTTTTGTAAATACAGTTTATTCCCAACCTTGTGTTTTGTGCTCGTATGTTATCTCGGATTGAATTAAATTCAGGGACTATTTTGGCTCATTTAAGGGCAACATTCAGCAAAGTGTAGATTCTACAGACTGAAAACAAAGGAACGTGGAGCACTGGAACAGTTCAACACACTACAGAATAAAACAACCTGGGGATATTATACACCAAATTAACCATTTATTCCCTTTTGCATCTATTCAATTAAGATATTTGTAAGACGTATCGCATCATCGTATTGTAAAAACTTACAGAATGTTTCCTCTTTTCGCCATTGAGTTTGTTAAAAAGTTGCAGAAATTCTACATTAAACATTCTTACATTTTTAATTCTACTCTGAATTTAACGGGAAACTGATTAAGGGAAGCTGAAACTATAGAAATGTAATCTCTCTTTTTAGTTTTCGTCACAACTCTGCCTGGAGCATTTTGGATCAGCTGGAGGTTTTTCAGAGATTATTTTTTTGGGATAGCAAAATGATAAAGAAATTGCACTAACTAAAACCCAAAGTAAAAAACGCATTGACTTGTTTGACTGCATCACTCTCGAGGAAAGATGTTCCTAATTTAGGAAAAATAAGGCTGTCGTGTGTGTGTGTGTGTGTGTGTGTGTGTCAAAGTCCAGACCCTGGTCAAAAAGGTTCCCACAGGTCATCCTAATACTGCTATAAAATTACAACCCATTCTGAAAAAATGGAGATACACTATATTGCCAAAAGTATTTGCTCACCCATCCAAATTATCGGAATCA